GAACTAACACATCAGTGTCATGTTTTATATAGAACTAACACATCAGTGTCATGTTTTATATAGAACTGACACATCAGTGTCATGTTTTATACAGAACTAACACATCAGTGTCATGTTTTATATAAAACCAACACATCAGTGTCATGTTTTATATATAACTTACGCATCAGTGTCATGTTTTATATAGAACCAACACATCAGTGTCATTTTTATACAGAACTAACACATCAGTGTCATGTTTTATATAGAACTAACACATGAGTGTCATGTTTTATATAGAACTAACACATCAGTGTCATGTTTTATATAAAACCAACACATCAGTGTCATGTTTTATATTTTACTTACGCATCAGTGTCATGTTTTATATATAACTTACGCATCAGTGTTATGTTTTATATAGAACCAACACATCAGTGTCATGTTTTATATATAGAACCAACACATCAGTGTCATGTTTTATATAGAACCAACACATCAGTGTCATGTTTTATATAGAACCAACACATCAGTGTCATGTTTTATACAGATCTAACACATCAGTGTCATGTTTTATAAAGAACTAACACATCAGTGTCATGTTTTATATAGAACCAACACTTCAGTGTCATGTTTTATATATAATTAATATACTTCTACTTCCTTTACTCTTTATAAAAGTTATTTGTAAAATCGAATATATATCCCCACTTTTGCCTGACTGTCTTTAAGTCCTGTGTGTTAGTCTCGGAACTAAAACATACCTACAGTCGGGTGTTTCCGCCGTTCAAACTATCTCTCCAGTGTGTACCGGTATAATAAAACGGTTAAAGTATGAGATGAGGGATATAGAAAGTTTCTGGTGTCCCTGGACCATACCTCGGGAAATAGACCTTGGCCCGAATTCATGAAACCGTTCTCATGCTCAAGCATGGATTCTATGCTCAAGACAGCTTTCTTGTAACTCGCCTAAATCATGTCAACGACCAAAAAGTCAATTATAAATATTGAAAACAGTATTTGGCTTCGTATCTCTTAAATTGTTTTTCAAAACTTTGACAAAATAGGATTTTTTTAAATAATTTATAACTAGAAAAAGAAATTAGGCTTGAGCAAAAAATCCATTCTTGAGCATGAGAACGGTTACATGAATACGGGCCCTGGTCTCATGACACCAGAAACTTGCTATATCCCTTAACCCCATACTTTAACTGTATTTTATACTTCAGTGTAGTTGTTTACACACAATAATGATCGAGACACTTATGTAGCAAATCGTATTTATAAAAACGACAAAAAAACAGGCAAATATTGAAAATGATATTTATTCACTACAAGCGTAATACTTGAAAATGTCCATTTGTTTTATTTACAGCTCTGTATGGTATTGGTGGGAACACTCCTATTAAGTTTAGTACAACCATGGTGTCTACATACTTCTTTCTCCATCAACTGTAATCATTATTTACTTATAAAACCACTTTTCAAAATTGCAAACGTTATTTACCATATAATAAACGTAACGATAAAATCTTATATAATTACACCGGACTGACCTGAGAATCGGAGCTATCACACCCATTCCGCTAAAACGATGGTAAATACTTAGTTGTATTAGCATCACCTCACACAGAGGCTGCTAGTGATGACACCGTCTACTCCTCACACAGAGGCATCTATAAATGACACCGTCTACACCACACACAGAGGCTGCTAGAGATGACACCGTCTACACCTCACACATAGGCTGCTAGAGATGACACCGTCTACACCTCACCCAGAGGCTGCTAGAGATGACACCGTCTAAACCTCACACAGAGGCTACTAGAGATGACACCGTCTACACCTCACACAGAGGATGCTAGAGATGACACCGTCTACACCTCACACAGAGGCTGCTAGTGATGACAGCGTCTACACCTCACACAGAAGCTGCTAGTGATGACACCGTCTATACCTCACACAGAGGCTGCTATAAATGACACCGTCTACACCTCACACAGAGGCTGCTAGTGATGACACCGTCTACACCTTACACAGAGGCATCTATAAATGACACCGTCTACACCTCACACAGAGGCTGCTAGAGATGACACCGGCTACACCTCACACAGAGGCTGCTATGAATGACACCGTCTACACCTTAAGCTTCCATGTACACAGAGTCTGCTAGTGATGACACCGTCTATACCTCACACAGAGGCTGCTAGTGATGACACCGTCTACACCTCACACAGAGGATGCTAGAGATGACACCGTCTACACCTCACATAGAGGCTGCTTGTGATGACACCGTCTACACCTCACACAGAGGCTGCTAGAGATGACACCGTCTCATCTCACACAGAGGCTGCTAGTGATGACACCGTCTACACCTCACACCGAGGCTGCTAGAGATGACACCGTCTACACCTCACACAGAGGCTGCTAGAGATGACACCGTCTAAGTTAAACTGAGTTTTGATGTTAGAAAGCAGTAGCGGTCTCAAGAATACTAGAATTACTGAAGTTAGACGTTTTACAACCGTTTGATACATTTCAACTTTCAGAACACAGGGTGGTCAGGGGGCGCAGTAGATAACTTATGCTTTTGGATGAGATTTTTTACTTATTTTGTGTAACTGCAATGTCAACTTATTAATCTACGGACCTGTGATATATTTGATTTTTATCTTGTTATATTTAATTTTGCACTGTGCTGAACCACAGGAACCCCAGCCCCTGACGCCTTATGTAAAGGATAACAAACAAATATGAGATAAAAAAAAAAGAAAAAAAGATTCATTTATAATTCAACAAGACGGCCGGGGTTCAATTAACCGATCGGACGTGAAAAGGTATGGGGTCACCTGGCAACAAGGCAAACAAGAATGATGAATATAAGTATAAATATACATATATATTTCATAATTGCTATAAAAAATAAAACGTTGATCCTTGGAATTTATTCTTTCACAGTTGACATAAAGAATATTGCAGAAGTTTAAGGTTATAGTGTCTGCTGTATCGATAGTTACCTGTTGTAACGTTACAAAGGGTTTGGAGCCCACCTTTCTCCTGTCTCTGTACGTATCTATCACAAACGAGTCCTGTAGGGACGAGCCGACCATATGGTGCAATAACTACCGTAATTAACTTTGTTTGGTTTTTGTCGTCGCACTACACATTTTTAGCAGTTGCCTCATTCGTATATTTTAGGATTACCAAAGGTCACTACCAGTACACATGACATCCTTAAACCATGTTTACATTACATATAATACGGGACGCAAACACTCACCGTGTCAGACTAAACTATCTACTTAATGTGCACGCCGTAATAGTGATTCACATGGCTAGTGACCACGTGAGGTATGGCTAGTGACCACGAGAGGTGCTTGTAACACAGTGATCTCGCACTGTAAACTCATTAGCGTTCGCCCTTCTTTCATACGATGTTGTTTTCACTTTAATGTATACACAACGGGTAGGTCTATGTCCTCCACGTCCTTCTTAACCGTCATGTCGAATTGTTCGTTCTGTGCTTCTGTGAACCAATTCTTCCAATCACCAACGTCGCCTGAAACCGAAAATGACTGAATTAGTGATCGAATAGAATAAAACATAAATATATAACCGTGTAACAGGCGGACTATGTACATAAACAAGATAACACAAAGCGGGATATTATCCCCGCGCCCAGCTGTTTAAAACAAAGACACACACTCATTATATATATATGTGTGTGTGTGTGTGTTAATATTACAATAACAGGTATTAACTCCATTCCACCACTGTTACTGATATTTTGATGTAGATCATCTTTTAAAGAACCACTGATGACTTCCCCATCAAAAAAGGCTTGATAAGAGTACAAGCTTCATAAGTGTACAAAACTTCCTGCATTCATCTTGAATGCAAACGGCTTCAATAGAAAGCTAGGTTGATAAGTGTACAACTTCAATTTCAATTTGTTCTTTTAAATAGTTTTGAGATCATGCTTCAGAAATCTCAAATTTCGTATTTTTGCCTTTTTCCATGGCCACAGAAAAAGAAAAAAAAAAGAAAAAAAATGAGAACTCCTCCTGTAGCAAAATGCACCAAGAGAGTGCTAGCTTTTATAAAATTGCAATTTGCAAAATTTGTAGTTTTACCTACATGTATCTGTTTCCATTGGTAACCATTTTCTTTTAAATGAGAACTCCTCCTTAGCAAAAGGCACTACCAGAAGGATAGCTTGATATTTATACAAAGTTTCAGGTAGTTATCTTGAACGGTTTTGGAGTCATGATCCATATAACTGGAATTTGTAATTTGGCCTATCTGTTTTCATGGTAACAGAAAAGTATTTAAATTTGGGGAACCTCTCCATAGCAAAAGGCACTACTAGAGCACTAGCTTGATAACTGTACAAAGTTTTGAGTTTTTATCTTGAACGGTTTCAGAGCTCTGGCCCCGCAAACGCGTTTCGTGGGGGATAATAATTGTGTAACAGGCGGATTATGTATATGTATAATTGTGTAACAGGCGGATTATGAATATATATATTTGTGTAACATGCGGATCATGTATATATATATTTTTTTAACAGGCGGGTTATGTATAGATATATTTGTGTAACAGGCTGATTATGTATATATATATTTTTGTGAAACACGGGGTATGTGTATATATATATCTGTGTAAAAGGCGGATTATGGATATATATATTTGTGTAACATGCGGATCATGTATATATATATTTGTGAAACAGGCGGATTATGTATATATTTGTGTCACAGGCGGATTATGTATATGTATAATTGTGTAACAGGCGGGTTATGTATATATATATCTGTGTAAAAGGCGGATTATGGATATATATATTTGTGTAACCGGCGGATTATGGATATATATTTTTGAGTAACAGGCGGATTATGTATATAAATAATTGTGTAACAGGAGGATGATGTATATATATATTTGTGCAACAGGCGGATTATGTATATGTATAATTGTGTAACAGGCGGATTATGTATATATATTTGTGTAACAGGAGGATTATGTATATATATATATTTGTGAAACAGGCGGATTATGTATATAAATAATTGTGTAACAGGAGGATGATGTATATATATATTTGTGTAACAGGCGGATTATGTATATAAATAATTGTGTAAAAGTCGGCTCATGCACATGTATATAAATAAGTTATCCGAAACTATTACCGAAATGTGCCGAAATAGTCAATTCAGCTGTCACAAAATATCGAATCATTTCCACCAAACAACCGTCTTATACCACAAGGCAGTCAGATGGACGGGTAATATGTTTACCCTTTCCGCCCCTTAGTGGATGTTTATATATATGCACATGCATGTAAATAAAAAAGGTCTAATAGTCGGCTCATGTAAATGAGTAAATAAGTGTGTAACAAGCGGATCAAGTGTATAGATAAGTAAATGTGTAACAAGCAATTCAATTACATAAATCAAAACTTGTATAACATGCGAATCTTGTAAAAAAAAAAGAAGTAATTGTGCACTAGGCAGCTTATGTATATAAATATGTTATACCTAACAGGTGACTCGTGTACATATAAATATGTGATACCTAACAGGCGGCTCGTGTATATATAAATATGTTATACCTAACAGGCTGCTCGTGAATATAAATATGTAATACCTAACAGGCGGCTCGTGTATATAAATATGTAATACCTAACAGGTGACTCGTGTATATAAATATGTACTACCTAACAGGCTGCTCGTATATATAAATATGTTATACCTAACAGGCGGTTCATGTATATATAAATATGTAATACCTAAAAGGCGGCTCGTATATATAAATATGTAATACCTAACAGGCTGCTCGTGTATATAAATGTGTTATACCTAGCAGGCGGCTCGTGTATATAAATATGTAATACCTAACAGGCTGCTCGTGTATATAAATGTGTTATACCTAGCAGGCGGCTCGTGTATATAAATATGTAATACCTAACAGGCGGCTCATGTATATAAATATGTAATACCTAACAGGTGACTCGTATATATAAATATGTAATACCTAACAGGCGGCTCGTGTATATAAATATGTAATATGCGGCTCTCTGTTCCTTTTATACGTATCTGTTGTAACGGATAATTTGTATAATGATTACCTGACTTTATTCAATGATACTTTTGATTTAATTGTAAAAGGATGCAAACATCAGAGTGCTGCAGTGTTCCGAACTTTTCATCCAATAGGAAAGTTGTGAATAAAAACAATAATTTGATACCTTTTCTGTAAAATGGGTTGCTTCCGTCCAAGGTCATCTGTTTTTCCGTCTCTGTTGTGTTCGCCGTTTTCTCTTTGAACATCTCTTTGAATTCGCATTTACTTGCAATGTCGTCTAATAAGGCAGGGTCCGCTCCCGTACCTAAATGTTCAGCAATCGACTGTACGCTGCGTCTCAGGTCCTAGTCAAGAGAATATTTATAATATAAGTATTCTTTAACTAATTGAGTTAATGTTTCTAAGCAAACCAGCTGATGCGAAATTGATTTGGAGTCATTTTCCAATGAAGTAATATTATTTCAACAGCATTTTCAGGGAAGCTATTATTGTGGCAAAATAATTTAAAACGTCCTTGGGAGTCAGTTTAAGACTTTGTTGCTAGTGAACGTTAATATCAAATGAAAACAATGAAAACAAAAGTAACTATACTCATGATATGGTGGTGAATACCAGGTGACGGGCAAACACCACTTGTGGCGCCCGTCAAAATGCCCTCCATCATATCTAGGGTTCCCACTAACAATGTTTGGTACAGTAGACATAGCTGTGATATAAAGCAATGTTACTAGTACCTTCTTCATGTCCTCGTACGAGATGAGCAGTAGAGGATAGTCAGGGTTCCTCTTCTGGAAGTCAACCCAAGCACTGACATGCTCACACCAAGAATTGTAAGCCACTGTAACGACAGAAATAAACGATAGGATTCTTTTTCATTTCACCTGGTCCTAGTATAGGTACTCCGCCGTTTTAACAGTTGATAGCATTAAAGGATCCAAAATCACCAGAGAAAGGTTATTGTGTTAACAAAACTCAAATCAATAACACTAGGGTAAAAAAAAATAAAAAAAAATAAGGAAAGATTTATATTGAGAGCCTTTAAAAATAATACGGAAAAAAAGACCGGGGGATATGAGTGGGGTTTGGGAGGGGGCCAGGTTCGTTCCTCCTTAATCAGCTACGATGGTTAGATTGTGACTGACTTCAGTTTGCTGAAAACTGTATATAGGAAAAAGACAAAAACAACTGGGAAAAGACTGTTATACGTTATGCCATTGTCCTTCTATTTCTGAGAATAAACGGATACAAAAAATACCATTTTAGTTACCTTTGCCCTGCATGTAAAGTTCTATAAAGTTCTGCCATTTTCCATTGTAGAGGTGTCCTTGCATATTCAGACGCTTAATAAAAGCGTAAAATGACACAGCTGTGTCTTTGGGATTCCGATAAACGTAGAAGATCTTGCCCCTGTTTTCTAGGAAATCCCGGGGTAGGTGTTTTGGGTAGAAATGTGTAACAAGCAGACGAGGCGATTCCAATTTGTCGTGTTCCTCTTGAGTGTCATGATCGAAGGATAACGGGTGTTTCTGGCAGTATTCTGCTTTCCCGTTTAGCAACATAGATAATATTTCATATGTCCAGTGCGTCCCTGTAAGACAAAAATAATAATTTCTCAATGCGACAACGGTATCACTTTCTGTCATTGAAGCAATAGCATTGTTCATGATTCATGAAAACGATAGCCCATGGTAAGATAGCGATTGCAGCATACGAAATTAATTGGGAAACGGTCCGCCGATATCCAGACGTCTCAAAGTTATTATTTGGTGTTGTGATATTTTGACGTTTTTTTTAAATTTTTGGTTCTTTAACTCCAAGCGCCAAATAAACCAAACTTTAATCACATCCGGAATCTCCCAATGTATAGTAATAGAGTTATTGTCTATATCAACACAATATATATAGTATATGATCCATTGTATGGCAATATGGTAGTAGTTTTAGTGTTAAGGCGATGCTTATATTTATACAGTGCAAGAATGCAAAAAAAAAAAAAAAAAAAAAAAAAAAAAGTATATTTTCCATGAATCAAGTTATATTCGCATTACATAATTTCCACATATCATTTATTATCTCTTTTAAGTGAGTGCGTTGATCCGTTATAGCTAATTAATTGGTCTTTTGATTCAAATATATACAAAGCGCTATTCTTATTATGCAAAAAAACAAACATCAACGCAACGTTAATGTACTTATTTGTTTAAGGTAAAACATGAGTAATGATAAATGCATATGTCAGCACTGCCGCTATTACTTCAACGGTTATATAAGGTATATAACGAATATATCAGACCTTGGTTATATCTACCTACCAGACCTCGGGTAAGTGGTGGTCATCTATGTTTGTACAACATATCTACCTACCAGACCTCGGGTTAGTGGTCATCTACATTGTACCACATATCTAACTACCAGACCTCGGGTAAGTGGTCATCTACGTTTGTGCAACATATCTACCTACCAGACCTCGGGTAAGTGGTCATCTTTATTTGTACAACATATCTACCTACCAGACCTCAGGTAAGTGGTCATCTACATTGTACCACATATCTACCTACCAGACCTCGGAATATCTACCTACCAGACTTCAGTTAAGTGGTCATCTATGTTTGTACAACATATCTACCTACCAGACCTCGGGTTAGTGGTCATCTACATTGTACCACATATCTAACTACCAGACCTCGGGTAAGTGGTCATCTACGTTTGTGCAACATATCTACCTACCAGACCTCGGGTAAGTGGTCATCTTTATTTGTACAACATATCTACCTACCAGACCTCGGGTAAGTGGTCATCAATATGTGTACCACATATCTACCTACCAGACCTCGGGTAAGTGGTCATCTACATTTGTACAACATATCTGCCTCGGGTAAGTGGTCATCTATGTTTGTACCACATATCTACCTACCAGACTTTGGTTAAGTGGTCATCTATATTTGTACCATATATCTACACTGTACCTACCAGACTTCGGATAAGTTGCAAGTAGTACATCTCCTTTTTTGTACTTCATGTCTATAACAGACTCAATGTGCTCTTTTGCATCTCCCGGAACTTTTACCGGGAAATAAACGCCATCATAGAACTTATAGATCATGACGTCTCCACCGGCATCAGCGATCTTTCGAATCTCCATGACAAAGTTGTCTCGTTTATTTCTGTTAAAACACAAACGACACGTGTACTAATGATAGACACGAACATGCATGTCTTTAAACGGTGTGGAAATAGAGACTTTCATTTCACACTAAACTTAAATAATAGCGTTTAAACACAAACGTAAAGCTAAATAGAACAGATAAACCATATCGTCAATAACTGAATAAAGAATCGAAACGGAAAGAGAAGTACGATATCCGAAGAAACACCAAAACATTCTCACGAATCAGCAATATGTTATAAACCGTCACAAAAACGTCACAAATCAGGTCTCTTACGCATACAGATCATAAGGTATTCAACACATTAAACAATAGGTCTGTAACACATACAAAACAATAGGTCCCTAACGCATACAAAACAATAGGTTCTAACGCATACAAAACAATAGGTCACTAACGCATACAAAACAATGGGTCCCTAACGCATACAGGGCATAAGGTATTCAACACATTAAACAATAGGTCCCTAACGCATACAAAACAATAGGTCCCTAACGCATACAGGTCATAAGGTATTCAACACATTAAACAATAGGTCCCTAACGCATACAAAACAATAGGTCCCTAACGCATACAGATCATAAGGTATTCAACACATTAAACAATAGGTTTCTAAAGCATACAAAACAATAGGTCCCTAACGCATACAAAACAATAGGTCCCTAACGCATACAGATCATAAGGTATTCAACACATTAAACAATAGGTTTCTCAAGCATTCAAAACAATAGGTTCTAACGCATAAAACACAATAGGTCTCTAAAGCCTACAAAACATTAAGTTTCTAACGCATACAAAACAATAGGCTATATAGCTTTCAAAACAATAGGTCTGTAACGCATACAAAACATTAGGTCAGTAACGCGTACAAAACAATATTTTTTTAACGCATACAAAACAATAGGTTTCTAACGCATACAAAACAATAGGCTTCTAAAGCATACAAAACATTAGGTTCTAACGCATACAAAACAACAGGACTCTAAAGCATACAAAACAATAGGTTATAACGCATACAAAACAACAGGACTCTAAAGCATACAAAACAATAGGTCTGTAACGCATACAAAACAAGAGTTTTTTAACGCATACAAAACAATAGGTTTCTAACGCATACAAAACAATAGGCTTCTAAAGCATACAAAACATTAGGTTCTAACGCATACAAAACAATAGGTCTGTAACGCATACAAAACAAGAGTTTTTTAACGCATACAAAACAACAGCTTTCTAAAGCATACAAAACAATAGGTTCTAACGCATACAAAACAAAAGTTTTTTAACGCATACAAAACAATATTTTTTTAACGCATACAAAACAACAAGTTTCTAAAGCATACAAAACATTAGGTTCTAACGCATACAAAACAAAAGTTTTTTAACGCATACAAAACAACAAGTTTCTAAAGCATACAAAACAACAGGTCTCTAAAGCATACAAAACAACAGGTCTCTAAAGCATACAAAACAATAGGTCCTAACGCATACAAAACAACAAGTTTCTAAAGCATACAAAACATTAGGTTCTAACGCATACAAAACAATATTTTTTTAACGCATACAAAACAACAGCTTTCTAAAGCATACAAAACAACAGGTCTCTAAAGCATACAAAACAATAGGTCTGTAACGCATACAAAACAATAGTTTTTTAACTCATACAAAACAATAGGTTTCTACTGCATACAAAGCAATAGGTTATAACGCATACAAAACAATAGGTCGCTAACGCATACAAAACAATAGGTCTCTAAAGCATACAAAATAAAATAAAATAAAACTCATTGTAAACAGAAGATTTCTAACTTATACAAAAGAAACGATCACGTTCTCAGAAAAGAATAGGTTTCTAACCCACTAATAATAAGTTATCCTGAGCCCGTACAAACCAATATGTTACAAACCAATATAAAACAATAGGTCACCAGCCCACATAAAGAAATACAAGTTGTCCCGTCGTGTTAACATCCGGTTCATACATGCCGTTCATCAAATAATTACCGATCTTAAATGTCACAAACATTGATACCGTTAAATCTGCAATGTCGTGCCATTATCCATTAGAGGACTCTCACAACTAAATCAGCCAATCAGCAAGTGTTTCACACGATTGTAATCCCTACCTAACATTTGTTCCGGTTAAATACAGTGCCTCTGAATAAGTTAGATAGGCAATTGTTGACATATTTAACATTGAATGAAATCTACAGATATTGAACTTTGGAATACGGTATTGCTTTAGTAGATTTTAATATGTGATGGCGGATTGCTATGGAGTCAAATGTCAGGGGGGTTCCCGTCCCACTTCACCGGTTTGGATTGTAAACTTCCGGTTGTCAACAGCAGACGCATGAAGCGCTTTTATACCCGCTAAAAATGCCTTTTGATGCCTTTGTTAGGTATGTGTCTATGAATCAAAACATTTGGCACTAGTGTTCAACTTCAAATATTAAACTATTTACTCAAACACTTAGCAACAACATATAGTAAATGGTTAAGTTGTGTGCGCCCTTAGAGCAGTACTGTAATAGAGGCCTGTGTTTTAATTACCGGCACGTTTGTCAGTGTCCTTCGATGCGGGATATCATACTGGTTTAACATACCATGGATAGCTACGAACTTATACTTACTATAAGCCTAAGTGTGTGACTATGTAGAGTAAAGCAACGACTCGACAAGATATACTGGTAAACAAGATATACCGGTAAACGTCCATGCCATTGGAATGAATTTGTCAAAAACACCAGGTGAAGTAAAATTTACATTAGAAATCATTAATATTAAAAGAAGTAAAAAGTTCATACCTACATGTATTGATAACGTGTCAGAGGTATGTTGTCCTGTCCTGTGTTGTAACGTGTCAGAGTCGGCTCTGCTTTCCTTTCCTTGGTAATGACGTGTCAGAGGTCTGCTGTGGTTTGCTGTCGTCTGCTGAAATACTCTCCCGTCATCGACTGTTTATATAGTGATAAATTAATGTTCTAGATTATACACCCCGCGGCCTTGCGGATGGGATTTCACGTGTTATTGAGTTATTTCTGTTGCAATACTCCATCTGACTTTCTATACAGTTCTAGTTAACACCCTCTCTGTCCGTTAGAGCTGACAGCGGAGGAAAACCTTCCGGAGGCGTGTAGTGATATTAAATGTCTGTCATCAGCTGAAATAATCCCCCATCTTTAACACACATTGATCAACTAGAGTTTAAGAAAGAGGACGAGATGTGCTCTCCATGACCTTGTCGTGTTGTACTGAAACATTTCAATCAAATACGTGATCTTCTGCAGATCAATTATCCTTTCAATAGGTGAATAAAAAAATAATGATACAAAAACATTCAGTTGATATGCATTTATTTGACATAATACTGTGTATCCTACATTGAGATACGGCAATATCAAAGTATTCAATGTACGTCAATTTCGTTTGTCAAATGACGCGTACGACATTGTTTACACAACTTCCATACCTATCATATAGTACATGTACTTATAGTATATGATTTATTTACTTATCAATATATTAATGTCTAATCAATCATTAAATTAGGATGTTTGGCTGTGTGGTATCTTAATTAATTCCTAGTGCCACTGTTACCTGTTTTCTAAATTTATTCTGGTCTATTTTTTAAACAGAAATCCTATTCAAGAATATCTCACTTTTATGGCTAAAACCTTCACAATAATAATGTGTATGTACTAATCCCGTGGTAGTAGGTCACATTCCTAGCACGTCATCAAATATATTTTGATATTTATTCTAGAGAACCTGACTTGTTCTAATTTTCCTTCTAATAACAGGACTACTTTTGTTTGAGCAATATAAACTTTTTGTGTACAATGCAAGATTTATCATACAAGTTAAGGCCTGGAATCTCACAATTATTTCAAGATATGGTGACTACAAACCAAACAAAATCTTCAAAATTTGAAAAGTACACGAGATTGACAAACTTGTTATAAAGATATCGTACATATTATAAATAATCATGACATAATTCAAAAGTTAAATAAATAGCTTTGCAATGCTTTGTAAGGTACCGGCAATTCTCGAACATTAAAGTCTCAGCCTGAAATATTGTAAATATTTTCAAAAAATAATTGCAATATTAACAGATTTATCAGTTGTTTTAAACATGTTATTTACATTCCGAACATCAAATTTTTAAACTGGAGTTACGCGAATACTGCTATTGATATTGACATTATTAACAGGTTTAATCACGTGTATTGTACATTGAAAGTTACACTCCAAACATCAAAATTCCAGTCTGGAATAACACAAATATTGTCATTAATAATGGCATTATTAACAATATAATAATTTGTAATGTACATTGAAAGTTACACTCCAAGCACTGTAAATTTAGTCTGGAATAACACAAGTATTGTCATTAATAATGGCATTATCAATAATATAATCATTTGTAATGTACATTGAAAGTTACACTCCAAACATCTAATTCCAGTCTGGAATTACACGAATATTGTCATTAATAATGGCATTATTAATAATATAATAATTTGTTATGTACATTAAAGTTACATTCCAAACACCGGACATATAGTCTGGAATAACACTAGTATTGTCATTAACAATTGCATCTATTACTAGTAAATCACTTGTAATGCACATGGAATTTACATTCCACACATATGAATACAAGTCTGGAATAAAACAAATATTGCCATTAATAGTAGCATTATAATAGTATATCAACTTATGAATATCTATATACTGAATAAAGCTCCCGGGTCGTTATAGTTCAAACGTTGTTCATTTTGAATTATTTTCTTAATTTGCTATACATTAATAAGAACATATTAAATAAATCTTAATATTGTATTGGTTAAAAAGATAATCTATTCAAGAATCAACTTTTTGAGAAACACACAAAACTCTTATGCATATCACACTATACGGTGAAAAGTATTTCAGTTTCTATCTTTTTGTCCGTAAATCACGCTACAACAGTTCATTATGTTATATTTTATACAAAAAAAACCCTGTTTTCTTCAAGAGCCGGGATACAATTCCTACCTAAAACGCAGGCTTTAAATGAAAATCTAGCTTTTTTCTTTTCGTTTTTTTTATCGATATTCATAAATAGCTCGTTTAAAATGTTTAAATCAAAAGTGAAAGTTATCCAAGTGTTTCCTGCGTGAAAGAAATAGGGACTTATGTTTTTTGTATAGGTGCATATGACCTACACTTCTTCAATTAAACTTAAGTTATAATGATAGAGATCGTGATCGTCACCTGGGTTTAACCTTTCATCTTCATTTAGACTTTTATCAACTAAACCCCAGGATAAGTTATTTCTACAACTAACTGATATCATAAAAAAGATGGATATAGAATACTTAATTCGATAAATGGTTCATGATGCATTGGCGCGACGTGATGTCAAGTCTTAGGGCGAAGCGATATTAAATATTATTTGCTGACCTGATATAAGAAATACTGGGCAGGTCTACAATGTATCCATCTGGAAGCGTTTATCAATTAAGTCGTTCAATCATAATAACACAACACTAAGGTAACAAATGCTAGGAGGATAGTCCAGGTGATTAGTCAAATTTAAGGTGTACCAATAAGAATAATACAAATATGATAGGACAAAGTTCTGGCGTGTCAATTACATTACGATATATTACAATTATGTGGCAAGGTAAAGTAGTGGTATATCTAATATTTATCACATAATGTACTGTGTTATCTAGTGAATATACCCATGTCATATTTTTTTTCGTATTAACACATGTAATATGATCTATCAGCCCTGTGATTTGTAAGTTTCAATTGTTTCAATTGTGACGTCACGCCAAGGACAAGTACATGACGTCACAGACTTACGCACTGGAATCAAAATGGCGGCTTTTTACATGTCAAGATTGCATGAAAATTGTCGTTCTATACGAATAAATGCCACAAATCTTGATCATGTGATAAAAAGGATCTTATACTTGTTTTCATTTCATATGAAATTTATGAAACACATCACGAATTTTTCATTTCAGAGGCTCGTTAAATTGAAAATTCTTAGACTCGTTTCATAAATCTCATATGAAATGGAAACTCATGTAAGATCCTTTATATATATAAAGGGGGCAAGGTAGGAATTCTAACAATGTAGACAATATGATGTTGTCAATTTTTTCGAGCAAACCGGTCCTTCAGCGAAATACAGAAAAAACACAAAACAATTACATTACGTAAAAACAATATTTAAAATTCGAAAACTGATGGGGCCTCTCCGTCACACTTGGCGTAATAGGACCAAATACAAAACGACGTCAAACTCAAACTTGTGACGGAAATCTTGAACGGTTTCCACTTTACGCATGACAAATATTTTTACAATAAAACACTGTCTGTCGCAATAATGGCTGTTTCAGTATTTGTCAGAACATTTTGATTTTACATGTTAGGTACAATAAACTTTAACCATCTACATTTAGTAGTGTCTGGTTATTTATAATCTAAAGGTAAATACCAGAAGTACAATAAACGCATTTCTAAAACATTCATTGAATATGTTTCAATGGAACTAAGATACATAATATAATATATATTTACAAAATGCTAGAAATTTAAGCAATATTTTTTTCAGTCACGTTATATATTCCGCCATATAACACTCATATACATTAACCATTTCTTATATAGACAAGATAACAATTTTCCTTTCAATAATCACACTTCTACATTTAAATTTACTACCTGATATCTCAATACAGTTTGCGAAATGTATCTACTGTAATTTCTGGGAAATAACGTTTGCAGAAGTTACAGGTTAAAATACTTTTTTGGCTGCCTGTCTGATCCAAGCAGTATGATTTGGGTCGACTCCCATTCTAAATTACCAAAAGGAACCATCAAAAGAAACTAAGATCATGTTGATAGAGTTCTTCTGGACATAGAGCGACATCAGTTTTGTTTTCCAAGCATCTGATGATAATGATGATGCTACAGACCGTCTTGTACCGTGACCGCGATGTGTGGTACTCACTTTGTCTACCGTTCTGTCACAACTAGGTATCATCTTGCCTTTAGTTAAGTTTCAAGCTCATCCTCGGGTTCAGGTGTAGGTGAATCATCAGGTTCAAGATCATCGAACGTATTCGGTTCATGTGCAAGTTCGCCCTTAAGCTCAGGTTTAGACTCAAACTCTGTCTCAGGTTCCGGCCAGTCTTCATATTCTATGGAATAAGAAACAAATCAATGGGAAATATAAAAGCATGCTTGTCGTATACTTTCTGTGCCCTAATACCCCTATTTCAGTTCCACTGTTAATTGAAGCAGGCTGCACCGATGAAGTAGTTGACTTTGAAACAACTTTTTAGGAGGAAACAATAGCCTTTTACATACAGCTGCTTCAGACAATAACAAATTTCAAGATCCCACACAGTATGTGAGACCAATGTGTAGAATGGTTTGCACGGTATTACACAGGTAAAAGTAATTTTTTTTGACAGGGGAACCAATATTCTGTTCGAGAATGCGAAATAATTTGATCCTGTAGATAGACTTGTTGACATTTCATTAATTTCATTAATTGTTAGCCCCTTCAAAAGGAGGCATAACGTGTCTACCTCCACTGTAACTATACAGTAGCAACAGAACCAGACTGTGATTCGAACACTGGACCGCCGAACTCCTCACGGTCAATTGATCTAACAAAATGAGTTATTTGAGCTGTGTACATTTGTCACAGTAGTCATATAGGGCCAAGTCCAACTATAATCATATATCATACGAATCTCAGGGGGGGGGGGGGGGGGGGGGGGATCATTCAACACAAGAATCATCTTCAGTGGAATTCTCCTGTGTTTTGCCTCCGGCAGGAAAGGAATTATAAAGGCTGTTTGTTTTATTCCGATGTTAACCTTAACTCAGTTGAAAAATGAATTGAGGTTGATATTATATGACCAAATTAGGCGGGAAGTAAATGTCACCAATTTGCAAAGTCACCATTGCAATTTAATACATGTTAATTGGTATAAAAGTAACATAAACATCAGTTTTAGTTTTTTTGTAGTTACTTGCATGTTTATCAACAGTGGAAAATATGGAGAATGCATAGACAAGTGTAATTTATCTGAAAAAACCCAACATTTGTAAATAACTTGACTATTGTATGGGATTTTGTTGGAAAAAAAGGATTTGACGAAAATGTCACTCTTTGGGGCCCAATAGCAAGTATACAAATTGTATATTTTTCTATTCACTGATAGTGATAAATTAGGAAAAGCGATTTAGAAAAATCAACAGTAAATAATTAAACCACTTTGACTTTGTTTCAAATTTACCAGCAATACATATCAGAAATTCTATTGGATATATGACAGTAAAATCAGTATTTTTTGTTTTTTCAATGAAATGTAAATTTATACATTTAAGTGAATTTTCCATGACCATTACAATTTTTCTCTTCTGTTCACTGATGATTTTAAACATTGAAATAAACAATCAGACTCGGGACTATTTTTACCAATTACGAAAAATGCACGTATGCTGTAGACCTTACAAACCGCTGAAAGAGGAACATATGTGATGCACCTTTGCAATTTGTTAAATGATACAGTATGATGAAAAAATGAATTACGCTGCATCAAGCAGCTGTTTCGACCTTCTACGACTCATCAGTGATGCTACGGCCAAAAGATTGGAAATCCAAATTATCTTAACTATTATAAAAAAAACAGGGGTTCAGGTGCGTAAAAGCCGTTATTAAGACTTTCAAAATCTGAGGTGTACCTATTGAATCATGGTTTCTATAACAGACCTCCTGTGGACCTTAACACTCCCTTCCCCACTCTAGGTAGGTGTAGTACTCATCAGTCCATTTATTTATTTTATTTCCTACCTTTTCCCTTTGATCCAGACACAGACTCGGTCAAATGTTCTGTTTCAGGCACATCCTCAGGTTCGGGTTGTAGCGCATATTGAGGTTCATAATCAGGCACAAGGTTGGGTTCGATCGTAAACTCTTCCTTAGGTTCATAATCAGGCACAAGGTTGGGTTCGGTCGTAAACTCATCCTTAGGTTCAGTGTTAGACTCAATATCGGGTTGATGCTTTGGCTGATCTGCAGCATCTAAGTGAAACTTTAAATTCACACATTTTTTCAAGCTCAAATATTACACATTCGTCTAAACATTCTTATCAACTTTTTTTCTAAAAGTCAGTATTTGATAATTCATCAGCCCTTAGCCCCAACGCCCACGTCTAAGCCCACTCAAATCTCCGCTTCTGTAAGTAATATAAGTTTTTGAACAACCCGGATAAATTGCTATCCGGGTTGTTCAAAAACTTATATTACCGGACTGACAACGGGACGGCTGCTTACGTTTATACTTTTCTTAGGAATTCATTGCTTGGAAGTCAAGTTTTGTATCGTACCGTTGCAAAAGGGTCAAAGTCCTTCATTGTATGATTGTTTTTAATGAAGTATACACGGTACTTAAAGTTGCTCATGATGGTGTTTTTTTTTCAATAAATTTAACACCGCTACCTAATTCTGTAGAGACAAAATCAAAATATTTTAGCACAACTATCCCAAATTTCATCGAGAAAAGGACAAGACTTTTTGGTAGTTCTTAACCTGAATTTGTTACAGGTCAAACATGTAAATAAAGCCTTCAAGTGTCTTAGAAAGAAATTGTCTCAGAGTGGTCTTTCATTAACCATATGATAGCGCCTTCTGCTGAAGACAAAAAGTCACTTAATTATTGAGATGAAGTCCTTCGAGGATTTATCACGAAGTCTTATATGTTTAATTATTGTTTAATATAATTCAATTGAAAAAAATTAAAAGCATACCACCTCAAGTTGCTACTTTTTAATATTATCATATGAAATTTTGTTTTCAATAAAAAAGTCGTTTTATTGAAAATGAAATAGAAGCAAAACAAATAAACGCCAATCGAACAACATCGCAACAAATCCCAACTACTCCGTGTATATTTCGTATTGATAATAATCTCGGTTATCGATGGTTCTTCGAGTTTCTCGTGGGTTGAATGAGTATTTTGCCAGCAAAAATGTCTAAATGTAGGGAAACCATTGTGAAAATGATTCATGTAGTGTTTACAAAATGTTCACAAAGTGTTTTTGAGAAAAAAGACGATGAAAATTGTAGCTTTCTCAAAGAACTTTAAAAGTTTGTAATGATTTTTAGCTCCACTCTTTTCTACTTGGAGGCTTTTTGTCTTTATATCAATAACGTTGAATTTTCATTTTTCAATACTGTTACCCATTTCTACGTGGGAAAAACAGATAGCTTGGCCATACTGCATTGATTGTTAATTATTTGATGACTACAAACCATTTCTTCTTTAAATGCATTTGTTGTAATTTTGAGCTTGAAGCCTGAAAGCATTTCCGTTAACGAAGACAAGAAAAGAACAAATAATGGCATGAACCAAGATAATCAAATAATGTAACTTGTGATAAAAAAAATCAATATTTTTGAAAATGCTTAAACACTTGCCGTGTTTCTAGCGGAACAAATACATGGGAAATATAAAGGAATACTTGTCTTATACTTTCTCAGTCCAAATCCCCCTTTCCTGCAAGTCCACTTTACTTATTTAGAAAAACCTTATAGCCAAGTTAAGAGAAAGTTAATCCTGAATTAAATTTAAACAGATAAAACTCCCAGTACAGTATTGCATCCAGTGGCATGATAAACAGTTATTTCGATTAGCCTAAATAATTAACATCTTGTAGGAAAAATAGTTATAATATTTTAATCCCTAATTCTGCAGATGGTTTCTTTTTCAAGCATTTGACGATAATGATAATCATACGGGCTGTATTGCACCTCGACGCCGGCATGTGTGGTACTCCTCTTTTTACTGTCCAGACATCAACATCTTGGTCTCATCTCTCCTTACCTTTTTCCTTTAGTTCAATTTCAGATTCATCTGAAGTTTCAAACTTTGAATCCAAGCTGGGTTCATATGGAGGAAAATCCTCCGGTTCAAGAATAGGCACAAACTGAGGTTGTTTGTTTGCAAGTTCACTCTTAGGCTCCTGGTTACACTCCACCTTAGTCTCAGGCTCTGGCCAATCCTCAGATACTAAGGAATACATAAAATTCATATCAATTTGAAAAGATGAAACCGTTTACAATTTTCTGAAAATCCTTAAATAATTGTCGTGTTTCTAGCAGAACAAATAAATAGGAAATATGAAATAATGCTTGTCTTTTACTTTTATCAGCTATCACAGTTAACACATATCAACTCTCTTTGTAAGGCATGGGTCAGGTAAACTCCGGTCAATCATAAAAATGTTATTTACCTGTTTTGTTACCTTGTAGCTAAACCCATTCTTGATAGTCTAACGGTTACTGTAATGCTGTGTAACACGCATGGTAAAATTAAACTTAATCCTAATTAATTTGATGAGCAATTTATATATACAGTGTTCCTTATTCCATACGGCGGATTTGTTTCATTCCGTAATATTGATCAACCAATTCTACCTAATCGCACATTTGTGCGGAGAGAAGCGGACAACGGGACGAACGATGATTAAATCGCACAGTTGTGCGCACCATGTGACGACGATGTGCGAACGGTGTGTGCACGATGTATACACGATGCGCGCACGCTAATTTTGGTGCGTTATGCGGTCACACAACTGTAGTCACCACCCGAGAACCTATACTAAATAGAAATTTGATCCTTAAATAAATTCAAACAGATAAAACTCCCAGTACAGTATTGCATCTAGAGAGATGATAAACAGTTATTTCGATTAGCCTAAATACTTTACATATAGAAGGCAAAACAGTTATAATAGTTTATGGTATCTTTTTCAAGCATCTGATGATAAAAATAATCATATGGGGCCGTTTTGCACCTCGACGCCGGCATGTGTGGTACTCCTCTTTTTACTGGTCAAACAGCAGCATCTTGGTCTCATCTCTGCTTACCTTTTTCCTTTAGTTCCACAATTTCAGATTCATCTGCCGTTTCTGACTTTAAATCCCCCAATGGTTCAAATTTAAGGAAATCCTCCGGTTCAAGAATAGGCACAAACTGAGGTTGTTTGTTTGCAAGTTCACTCTTAGGCTCCTGGTTACACTCCACCTCGGTCTCAGGCTCTGGCCAATCCTCAGATACTAAGGAATACATAAAATTCATATCAATTTGAAAAGATGAAACCGTTTACAATTTTCTAAAAATGCTAAGATACTTGCCGTGTTTCTAGCGGAACAAATAAATAGGAAATATGAAATAATGCTTGTCTTTTACTTTTTGAGCTCAAAACCCCTTTCCTGTAAGTCAAATCTTTGACAAAACATGATAGCCATTCACAGAAACCATTAATTTCTTAACGTAACTTTGTCTTACGATATGTTTCGAAAGCTTTTGAACCCTGACATTGATAATTGACCAGTCGTCTTTGACCTCAGGATGGTACATTTCAAATGTCATTACCGGAGACATCTTTATGATTGAGGAGGTATGGAAATATTTTTTCACAATTATATAATGATACATTGAAAGTTGGCCAAGTTATTTATTATAATTAATTCGATAGTCATTAACTTGAATGTGCTACCGGCCAATACAAAAAAATATCGAAAACATTCTTGATTATAACAAACACTCGAAGAGAAAAACGGGGTGTCAACAAAGCCGCTATTTGAACTCCAAATCGATGACAAGATGTTCAATTCAGTATTTTCTTGAAAATAACGATAACAAATGGTATCTTTGTATATGATAGTTGGCTTCCTATACAGTCCCTGGTAGTATGAATATCTTTTCGGTCATGCTGATTTAATGATCAGTCTAATATTGGAAATGCACATTGAACAGCCAATAGAACCAGTATAGTCTGATGATGATGGGATGAAACATCTTAAGATGAGAGTTGCACTCTTAAGGATATTAATCTTACAACAACTATAAATGGCCCCCTTAGCAACATTAGTGAGGACTTGCATATATCAGATGCGTCTCATTTTGTCTACGTCAAGTTGGATTCGGATGCGGGTCTTGAGGACAAGGTAGAAGGGTTTTGGTATACAGGCCAGGTTTTAGCTGGTAGTTTTAGCCCCAGATGTCGGTTGACGATAAGAGAGTTTTGAACGTGTGGAATTATTTCATTACTCAAAAGGAATGACATTATGAACTCCGCATTCCATTTATGGAAGAAAGCCCCAACTTGCAAGACAACAAATCTTTGGCATTGAAAAGACTTTAGTACCCGAGTAAACGGTTGGCTAAAGATACTGATCTACATAGGAGGTCAACAAATTGTTTGATAAAGGCTCCGCTTAATGTATCCACCAACCTGCAATGCTGAGACAGGAAATATCTGATATTTGCCACATCACGCCGTTTTCAATCCAAACAAGTCAGACAAATTAGAGAAGAAAAAAATTCAGCCTGAATGCAAGAAAAACATAGGCTGGGATGATGACTTAAATGACAAAAGTAAGAGGTCTTGGTCAAATTGGATGAATGAGTTTCCATAGCTCAAGGAATTTGAGATAAATCGTTGTTTCATGCCGGACAGTTTCGTCTCTGCAGTAAAAGTAGAACTTCATCATTTCTGTGATGCGTCCCAGGAAGCTCATGGAGCAGTTTCTTACATTCGTGCGGTAAACTGCGATCAGGATATTCACTGTGCATTTCTTATTGAAAAGTCTCGACTTGCTCCTGTTCGGCAAATGAAAAATACCGCGATCGGAACTTTCTGCTGCTGTGCTGGCTGTGCTAGTGAGTAGTAGTCTGTGTGACGAATTGAGTCTTGCGTGTTTTGTTCAGATAGCATCATTGTTCTGCAATACATCAAAAACAAGAAGAAACGTTTCCACACATGTTTCGTGAATCGCGTTGTGGTTATACAAGACAGTTTTAATCCTGAGAGTTAAAGATATGTGGATGGAAAAGTGAACCCTGCTGATGATGCTGCACGAGGGTTCAATGTCTCTGAAATGGTCACCAGGCAAAGATGGAAACAGGGGCCGGAATTCCTGTGAAAGGACAAGTCTGAATGGCCGGAGCTTGCAACATGCCCAGAGGTATCGACTGATGATTAGGAAGTTCGTGCTGAAAAATAGTCGTGTGTTGTTGAAACCAAACCAGCAGACGACCCGATTGACAGACTTCTGACAAACTACTCATAGTGGCACCGTCTGAAAAAGGCTGAAGCATGGCTTCTTAAATTTAAGGACTACGTTCTTAAAAGACTGTGACAAACCATGCTACTGTGGAGGACATCAGGGCTGCCGATACAGCAGTATTTCGTTATGTGCAGCAACATAACTTCAGCCAGGAACTATGAGCCTTAAAATCTAGTCATGGAGCAATTAGTAGCAGCCATATGCATAGCCTGGAACCTAACTTAGAACGCTATAGTCTTTTTAATGGAAAATTGTTTCCTGCTCCTATCTCGGACTCGGTGCAGCATCCTGTAATTTTTCCCATTGAGATCATCACGTCACCAAGCTCATGGTTCGACATATTCATGAGCTTGAAAGCAGACATTCTGGGAAGGGAATATTTGTTATCCATTCTGAGGCAAAGTATTGGATCCCTAAATGTCGCCAATTAATCAACGGTATCCTTCGTGCCTTGCACAAGGTTGCGGGCAGTGTCGGGCTCTCAAACAATGGCAGTGCTTCCTCCTGATTGAGTGCGTCCTGGTCAGGCGCCGTTCACCTCTGTAGGATTAGACCGTTTTGGCCCTGTTAACGTGAAGAGGGGCCGGAGCCAGGAAAAAGAAATGTTTGTATCTTTACTTGTCTAGCAATGCTCGTGGTATATATTGAGAATTTGAATTCTCTTGAAGCCGAATCCTCTATCAGTGCATTGATACGCTTCATGTCTCGACGGGAAGTTCCTGAACTTATTCGGTTTGACAACGGAAAGAATTTTGTAGGCGGAGAAAAGGAACTGAGAGCTTCTTTTATGCAGTGCATTGAAAATGCACACCAAGGAATATATCTCCTGCTTCGAAACATCCAATGGGAATTTAATCCTCCATAGGAGGCAACTACGCTCCGTGAAAATAGTTCTGAATGTTATCTTACGCGATCAGTATCTTAAGGATGTACTCTTCTGAGGTTTCAGTCACGTTCAAGTCTCGTTTTGATCTGGTGTAACGGGTTTTTGTAATAATTATGAAATTATAATAGGTTTAGTAGCAAACACATATCTGAAAAACATGTCAAAAAAACTAGATGTCTGTTGTGTGTAGAACTTTTTTTACAAGAATTGGAAAAAAATGACCAATTTGGCGGCCATTTTGAAAAAGTGCATTTATGTGAATTTGTTGCGCTTCACAAAGGGCAAAATTTCACCTTTTTTAACACTAGTTTGATCACTTAAATTGTCATTGTGTCACCATTTTTAAATGCAGCAGGTTCAATTTTGCTGTACAACTTTATAATGTTCAATATGATTAAAATAATATGCAAAAAAGTGGAAAGTTATATATTATTGGTATTTTTTTTAACATATTAGGGTAACTGAAGCACTTTTGATTTTTGACCCCGAAAAAGGTGAAAAATAACACAAATAATAATAGGACATAAAAGAAGCACACCGACCCCCCCCCCTTTTTTTGTGGCTGTTTTAGAAAGAGAAACACGTTTTCTTTTGATTCATTGAATACCAAAAAAAGTTTGATACAGGACTTTTTTATATCGAGCGTTTAATCTGCAAAAAATGGTGAAAAAATGTGCATTTTTCATTAAAAAATAAGGGTTAAGGGTAACTAAAATCGCATTTCTGAGTAAATTGAATAAGATTAAGAAATTTTACTTCCATAATCTATAAGAAAAAAATATTTATCAATTCTACAGACATTCATACATATCTGATAACACACTTGGAAGAAATCGATGAATTTGTTGTGCAAATTGTCAAAACCCGAAAATTCACCTAAAATCACATATTGCGTTAAATTGGTATCTTTGACCGATCATAGAACAAAAACGAACACACGGACATATGTTTTTTTTGCATTTTCTACTATGACATTATCTCCTTTTTCCAAAAATCGGCATAAGAAAAAAAGTTTAATACAGGATTTTTTTGACTTCTCAGAGGTGTACAATGTACATCCTTAACGACGAACGCTGAAACACTGTATTCTGTATTTCTGATTAGATTAGATTGACAAAGAACGATACCGAAATTTTGTCAAGCCTTTGATGATAACGATACAGGCCGTTTTTAACCTTAACCCCGGAAGGTTTACTGTTTAGTCACCAACATCTGGGTCTCATGTTTCCTTACCTTTTTCCTTCGGTTCAATTTCATGTTCATCTGAAGTTTCAGTATTTCAAAATTCCACTTTCCAATTTACTTTTGTAAAGAAGCCTTACAGTAAATTACGAAATTAAAACCTGTTATTTGACCTTAGTTTTACTGCATGTTTCGAATGCTTTTGAACACTGGCACTTAAAATTTACCAAATATTCATTTTCCTCAAGATGGTGCATTTCAAATGGCATTGCTGGAGGCATCTTTCGTATTAAAAAGATAAGGAAATGTTTTTAACACAACTATACAATGTTTAATTGAAAGTAGGCCCAGTTATTCATTTTGATTAATTGAAAGTCCTTAGCCTTGTAGCGTGCCAATATGTGAAAACAACCCAATATGTGAAAACAGGAAAAACTATATTAAATTCATTAATTGCTGTGTTTAAATTACTTATTATTCAAACTAACCAATCAAAGATACCAATTTAACACAAACTAAGAAGTTCTAATGTGAACAATTTCCACTAATTAGATAGACTAACTAGCCAAAATATCCAAAGTTTTTTTTTTACTTTTCAAGAATTGGGTTGCACATGATAGGACAAATCCTATCAACCCAATATGTGAAAACATGAAAAAAATGTTTAAAATTCCTAAATAACTTTCTGTTAATTATTTATTATTCAAAGAAGTTCTAATGTGAACAATTTCCACTAACTAGATCGACTTATTAGCCAAATATACAAAGTTTTTTTACTTTTCACGAACTGGTTTGCACATGATAGGACAAATCCTATCAACCCAATATGTGAAACCATGAAAAAAATGTTTAAAATTCCTAAATAACTTTCTGTTAATTACTTATTATTCAAAGAAGCTCTAATGTGAACAATTTC